AAAGCTACACGAGGGCTATCTGTGCTAGCCGTCGCTAATTTAGTAGTGTAAGAATAGTGGGATTGACCGTCACATTATAACGCCTCCACGGCTGAAAGGGCGAGCATGTTTGGTGGGATGCGGATTCGAACCCGCGACCCTCAGATTGTGAGTCGAGCGCCTTATCCACCTGGCCATCTGCTGTAATGAGAACGTAATCCATGAAGGAAAGAAAATATCCGTTTAAATGACATTGTAGAGTTTGAAAATTCTACATCTATAGTTTTACAACTGTTCATAAGTTCACAAGAAAAAAAAGACACCCAAACTGACTAACAAGTTGTGACACCCAGTTTGTCAGGTCTTCCTGCGAACCCTCTAATTCAACAACCTAAAATACACTGTAAGGCTTAAGGCAATACCCCCTCCGATAATTATTTAGACGGCCTTGCATACGTGTTCACAACAGCTATGATTATCAAAAAAATGAATGAAAGGAAAGAAAAACGAGTCATCCCATTCTAGTTCGAATTTGCTCATTATTGCTAATAACTTGTGAAGATAATTAAATTGATACTCTAACTAAATCTCAGGAACTAACGCTACCGAAGACATTACAAACGCTATTGAAGACGTTGCAGTAATGCTAACTAAATAGATATGATAAATTTGCTGTAAATTGAAAGATAAATAACTAGAATTTGAACGTATAAAATTTGTACTGATAAACCCTAAAATTCCCGCTCGTTGGGTTTTTTACAACGCATTTACTCGAACTGTTTATGCAGCAAATTGCTTGTGTGTCTACAGAGTCCGTAATAACATTCGATTCATACAAAAAATATTTGAACAAAAAATACCTTCGATAATATTACAATGTCAGAATTTCACACAGAAAATGGGTCTTTACACTAAGTGTTACAACAGGCACGCAATAAACTTACTTACAATCGTGCTTCATGTGTAGCCCACTGGTATAAAACAGCATCAAACACAGTTATGTTTGAGGTTTAAATTACATCGAATCACCATTTGGGCATTCTCGCTATTATCGATATTTTCGGCCATAATCCCAATAATATTACATACGGTTCGAATAGCTTAGCAGATTTTAGTTTGATCTATGTCCACACAGGGCACAAATAATAGGGCAACAATTCTAGTAATACTCATGCTATTCCATACATTACTCCCACCTTTTTGTCAATAGATTTATCAAGACATTCATTGGCTGACTTCTTTGAAACAAATAAATTTATTTAAGCAAGCAAATAACTGTATACGTAACCCAAAATCTAGGATGCAACTGAAGCATGTCCACCCACTTTAGAAATCGTGAACTTGATAACAACCGTCTACGTCATGAAAAAACAAAATTCCAAGATCATCTACTTACCATATGTCTGACAGTTAGGTTCCCAAATCCCAAAAGAAGTATTGCAAAATGGCAAACTACATATAAGTTGCACCAGAATGGTAATGGAGGATCATACTTTGGATCATTTGGATCAGGCTATATAGAAAATAAAGAGGAACTGTCGGTGTTTAAAAAACAAAAATATTTACAATCTGTACATCATAAAAAAAGATTTAGTTTGAATTTCGCGCAAAGCTACTCGAGGACTATTTGCACTATCTGTCCCTAATTTAGCAGTGTAAGACTAGAGGGAAGGCAGCTAGTCATCACCACCCACCGCCAACTCTTGGGCTACTCTTTTACCAACGAATAGTGAGATTAACTGTCATATTATAACGCTCCCACGGCTGAAAG